ATCCCAGTTAGTGGCGTTTCCCCAAAATATTATTCCATATCTAAGCCTGGACGCAACATAACCATGATAAGCCACAAGTAATGTGGGGAGACTGACTTTTTTTGCTAGCATATATAGGTTATAAGACGACTGTGTCACTTTTTTGCATACGAATTCTATATGGCTTTGCCATTTCAGATTTTCATCAATGTGAACGCCAAGAAACCTTGTAGTTGTTGTTATTTGGACTTCTTTGTCATTATATTTAATTTGTGTATTAAAACTATATTTAGTTTTTTGTTTGAATTGCATTATCTTAGTTTTATCTATATTCATTATTAAATTATTGTTTTGTAGCCACTCAATTATTGACTTTATGCTACTATTTATGGCGTTTTCATTATTATAAATAACTGTACAGTCATCTGCAAACAATATCATCCGATTCTTAGTAGATTTAGGTAGGTCATTTATATAAATAATAAAAAGTAGTGGCCCCAGAACACTTCCTTGTGGGACACCAAATTTAACTCTTCTAGGACTGGATCTATAATGTATTTCATTTTTATGTTTGGAACAAATTTTGCTTATTTCCGTGATTTGAGTTCTTTCACTGAGGTACGAATTTAATAAATCGAGAGTATTGCCCCTTACACCGTATATATCAAGTTTATTTAAAAGTTTTGCATGATCCACAAAGTCAAAGGCCTTTGACATATCCATGAACAAGGCATAAGAAGGTTGTCTAGCATCCACTCTTGGGTATATTATACTTAAAAATTCATAGATAGCTAGGCTTACTGACATATTCTTTCGGAATCCTTTTTGATCAGCGGTAAAGATGTTGTTCCGTTCGAAGTAATTATATAATTTATTATAAATAGCCTTTTTAATACTCGTATATGTATCTGAGGTTTTATTATTTAAAATTTTTAAAACATTAAGGTTTTTTAAAGTAATTGATGTAACCAGTAAACACGGTAAAGCCATGCTGCAGCATATTACTGGTACTTTTGTAGCACTAATGGGTCGGCTCGACCGGGGAAGGACCACGCTCTCACAGAATACCAGCGTAAAATAGCAGCTAAATGCTGCTGTGTTTCGTATGGTGAGTGTAGAGAACCGGAGACCCTTTTTACTGGAAACGAGGCATTCCATCTTAGTCCAACACTTGTGACAACTGACAATGCATCAGCATTTTGATACGTCATCAAGGATAGATGTAGATGTCTATGGGCCACAGTAACCACTTACCATCAGGTGGACTTTGTGCTCGTTTGTCACCCTTATCCTATAAAAGTGTTCTTTCTGTCTTTCTATTATACAGCTATTTTTAATAATATACTTGTCAATTCAATACTGTAAATTTAGATAAATAAGCTTTTAAATTAAGAACAAAAATCAAAGAAGTGAAAAAAACGTTTTCTTGTCAAAAGATACGTTTTTTTGGTAATATAATGTTTCTTTAAATTCCACGTCTTTTTATAGTGTTGATAAATAATCAAAAAGATAATGATGTCGATACGTTATCATCGCAATATCGTAAGATAAATTAGATCCATAATAATCTACATGTCATGGAATTCAAAATCTGAATGATAGCTGTACTGAATGTCAAAAAATGTACGTGTCAGATCTCATGCGTGACCGGCGTTTACTCCTGAAAAACGATTGTCTTAAAATATATTATATGGATAATAGGCAAAGGAAATAAATGAATTCATATATTTATTTATATTAATTTGATAAAATATTAAATAAAAATATATGAGTTATATTACATTATTCATTATTTTATTATACGGGGAAAACCATAAGGGCTTCACTGTTTGTTAACGCTTGATTTTACTATTTACTACGAATCTATTTTCAAATAGTGGTAAAGTTTGATTTTGAAAATTCTTTCACTGTTGGAAAGCCAAAATATTCCTCCTAAATTGTAGGGACACGTCTAAACTTAACAATACTTTACACGTATATTACCGTTACCGTTACAGCCTATCCACTGATGAAATATATAGGCCTATCCCATAGATTGCCTCATAGGCCTTAGTAGAAACGCTTGGCAAGCAGGTTGGCAATCGTAATTTTTTATTTTTAGATGTTATTAGATTCCTAATAACGACTAAAAATAAATTTGCGTTGCTGTGCATCATGGGTGTCATAAGAGGCGACAGAGGGAAACGCGTATATTAGCAAACAGTATTAAAGCAAATGAGCTTTATTAAAGATAATACAGTATTAAAGATGAATAATTACTTGTGTAACCTTGTTTTCTAAAGAATATGTGTGACAAATGAGCTCTTATAAAGTGATTTCAATACCAACACCAGACGGATGTAGATAATCGAACGATATCGAATAGTTTTTATCGATATGTCGGTATTTTGTGAATTAAGGAATTAAATGAAAACTATCTCTGTCTGTCTGACCGTAGCTTCTTCGTTTGAAAAAAAAAGGCGTTCGGCAGACACAGACTAAGCACGCAGGCAAGTAAATCATGGCAATTTTGAGCGGGTGAGGGAATTATCCCTAAACTTATTGTCCGAAATTTCGTCGCGTCAGTACGGTATTAACAATATCAAAAATATCGCATCGGCAATGATGTAATATTGACAAAATATCTTTATTTAAGGTTCGATATAATCAATAAATAAAGAATTATATTAAATACATAAAGCAACGCGGACCGTCGACGTACCAGATTAAATATAGTGAAATTAGGCAGTTTATAAATTCTTAATTATTTAATTTACATACTCGTAGTTCTAAGCTTTTCTAACACATTTGAATTTTATATCTCTTTACTTATTTAAGAACGTTGGTAGCTCATGGGTTAATAGCGTACGCGAGCTTCTCAAGTTCGATGAAGATCTGTATGTCCGAAAAAGAAAATATTTCGAGGTCTAATTGTTCCAAAACCCTCTCAAAAATGAAAGCAGGTCTGTATACTAGACTCTAATTAACTTTTTAGAAACTTAATAGTAGAATTTTCAATTTTCAATATTTACTACTCATATGTGTAAACAATGCCATCGTTTTGTAAACTTTATTCTTTCTAATTTACCATTATAAGCCAGTGCTTTACTACAGTCTCACCGGATGGTAAGTTGTTATGCAGTCGAAGAAGGTAACGCGCTCTGACATAGCTTAACAAAAGTCTATTTACTCTTGCTTGAATGCACGTATTATGAATGACAAAGCAAACCGTTTGGTTTGAATAATTGTATGTCTAAAGCAAAGGGGTGGAGATCAACTGACAACTGAGCATCTGGAGGTCGTTCCGTTGATGAAATAGAGAGGGAGGAATTAAATCACGGAATTCTTGCGCACACACTTCGTAATGTATCATGTAAAACACTGAAAAGCTGTCTACTTTGCGTCAGTGTACGAGATTGGTAAGATTGGTTATCAAGTGAAGTTTGTATTGTTAACACACGACAGGACAGAAATCAGGCATCGAACCAACGGCTTTGCGTGCTAGACACGAGGGTGAAATACTGCCAACTTTCTGACTCTGGGCTACTATTTAGAAGTTCTTGATAGAAAAACCCACTCACTGATTTTACCCATGCTGCAGCTATATTACTGGTATAGTTGTAGCACGAATGGGTCGGCTCGACCGGTTAGGGACCACGCGAGATCATCAGAGAATACCAGCGTAAAATAGCAACTTTACGCTGCTGTGTTTTCTATGGTGAGTGTAGAGAACCGGAGACCCCTTTTTACTGGAAACGAGGCATTTCATCTTAGTCCTCACGGGTGACAACGCATCTGCATTTTGATTCGTAATCGAAGATAGATGTAGATGTCTATGGGCCACAGCAACCACTTACCATCAGGTGGACTGTGTGGTCGTTTGTCACCCTTATCCTATAAAAAAAAAACCCGAGACTGCATGATTAGCGGACGCGCTTTCGAACACTACGACACATATTGGTGTCCTCATCTATTTTCTGTGATGTTGGTGTTGTTAGCCTATACGACTCTTACAGCTTCATCTGACGCAGTGATGTCATCAATACGTCTCTTAGCGCGCCTTTCTATTGTGTTCAAAGCTACTATTAGTTGATTTGTGCCAGAATAGCTCATACTTAAAAAAAATTAAAGCCTTCTTAGGCAACGTCTGGATACTTATTTTCTATAAACTTTTTTACTGTTATTATTACATGAAATTATTGGAGTGACAGCTATATAACTAGTTCGGTGCAGCACTACTAGCACTACTATCACTCACCACAATTTCCATAAAAATGTAATTGCATACGACAGTCAAGTCTAGGGTTGCAACGGTATATCGGTCGACCGATAATAATGATTGTATCGAAGCCAAATAAAAATACATGATAATTGTTGAGTCAATAATAAAACGGATAAAATGACAAAACATAATATATTTCTCATAATAGGTCAAGTTTATCGTTATTACAAAAAATAGTATATATTATCTTGTCCTATAGTCACTATAGTTTTGTACTCGCATCATTCTTATATTCTAAAAATTAAAAATTAAAGGTAGACAAGTTTTGTATTTAGTAATAAACATACTAAAGCAAATTAAAAAAATACAAGATAGTTTCCTACGTTCAATTAGAGATTCTGTCTATGTATTATTTAATTCACAGCTGGTGAAGCGGATAAAAACTTTTACAAGTAATACAAACCAAATATAATATATATATATATATATATATATATATATATATATTAATTAAGCCCTTATTTTAAGTCAATTGAACAAAGTTTATCTTGTATTTTTGGATAGGATTTTCACCACACTAGGATTTTCTCTTGTATCGTGGAGGCAGTTTACAACCATAAATTTTCACGGAAACAAACATCCAGACTCGGAACAACTATTTGTAGACCATACAAACACTTGTTCCCTGCGGGATTCGAACCTGCGGCCCCCAGGGCAACAACTCATTGCTAAGCCACTGCGCCACGGAACCGTCGAATGAATATATATATTATGCATTTAATATTACTAAGTTTATTTATAAATAAATATTATCACTTAATTATTTTCTGATTGCATTTGATGCTTTTGTGCAAAAAGTAATGAATGGGTTTATTATAATAATGGTTGTAAATGCACCTGTAAATGCAATGAGGGCATTCGCAAATTCGTTTGATGCCCAATTTCTAAAGAAATTCTTATCAAAACCATAACACAGAGAGATTGAAGCTGTGGTAAAGCATACAATTCCAAAGCATACATGTGTTAGCTTGGAAATGTTTCCGTTAAACATCCGTCGAAATTCATAAGCGTAGAGTGAAGTCAGGCCATTGATGAGACTGGCAACCGTGAAGACTATTGCTACCAACGCTGTAAAATAACACGTTTTTACTTTTAATAATAAAATAATACGATATAGAATTAAAAAAAAAATAGATATTGCATATATCCTAAGGTTGTAATACAAAAACCATGTAAGTCTCTAGGCTATCACTGTTTAAGTTTCTTATGCTGAAATGAGGTATCCGTTATAGTTCTTTCATTAAAAAGTTATTACGGATTGCAAAATTACTACCTATAACTTTTCAGAATTTGAGATAAATCAATCTCGTAGTTCTTGATATACGATATTGATGATATTACGATGTGCCACTATCTCTAAACTTTGAGACTCTGAGACCTCTCTGGCTGTATGCTAGTGTGGTATTCGTGGGACCGTTAGGTGTGTCAGTTTGACAGTTTTTCACATCCGAATTCGTCGTTATATGGTCGGACTTAATCTACCAAAGTGACATAGGTTCGCTGATGCTGTGCTTATTTTCCTAACCCTTACGGCTTCCACGTAGTGGACTCAGCCCCAAAGACGTAACAATAATGGAAATGGTGGTCTGACCTGGGAGAAGGGGTCGTTACTTTGTGACAGGAGCTGGCAGAGCTGCTATCGAAAGCACTTTTTGGTTGTTTTGCAGATATATGGTGAAGATAGAATACCGGGGGATTAAGTGGGTCAAGATCTTTAAATAATAATAACTTACCAAACTGTCCATGGTAAGAATTCCAGTGCACTTTTTTGTCCAGAATTTTAACAAAACTCCCGGCCAGGGCTAGAGCTGATCCCATTATTTGTAGAATCCAGTGTGCACGACGTTTATCACTGAGTCTTAGTTTCGCAGACCACCCGTTTTCACGTGCTAGACTAAGAATAGCTTGGCCCATAAGCAGCTGGTACTGAAAAGAAATAAGACATAAATTTTAGCAGCTGTTCATGCCTTACAAATTTTTAATACATTAGTACCATAAATTAAAACCACTGTAATTTTAATATTATATGCTACTTTTAATAAAATTGCAGTTTTTTAATTTATAATACTTATAAAGAATACACTACAAGCTCTTTAAGAATAGACACTTACCCCTAAAACACACAAAATTATATGTGTAGAGGTTGCTCCCAGTGGTAAACCACCTCTTAAGGAAAACAATAGACAAATACCAACGACGACACCAATTAACACGTGAGCTAGCAAGTTTAACGTTGATTGAAAAATATACAAATTGTAATTAGTTCCGTGCGGTACCGCCGTTTGGTCCGCACTTTTTACACTTTGTGTAACTGTTACTGGCTCAGGTGCCATAGTAGGTTCCATAGAATTTGGTGGCATTTTGAAGATGTGTTATTTCCAGTAGCAACCGGTTAAAAGTGTGAACATAATAAATAATTCAAAAATGTATTTATACCAGAGCCGAAAAAGATAAAAATGATGACTGACTTTATCAAAATCGATGGAAATACAGATGCGTTGTAGATAAATTAGGAATTTGCGAGTTAGCATGGCTCTCCCACGTATCATATTCTTCTAGGTTCTGATGAAATAGAAATAGTAATAGATGCTCACAATTTTTAAGACAAATTTACTTTGGAGTTAAGCAGTTAGTATCCTTTACTTTGCATATTTATTTATTGAATTTTTATTATGAGACACCTTAAGGTAAGGGTTACAGGTAACGGGTGGACTTAACGATTCAAAACGCGAATTGTATTTTCCTTTTTTATATATGTGTTTTCGTAATATAACGTCAACGTAAAAGTCGTTCAAAGTCTGTCACAAACGTTTTCCTGAGACTAGATAATGAAAAAAAATGTCTCGACTACCCATACCACATATCGGGTCCAGTTTGATGACATTCTTTTTAGGCATTAAATCAATATACAGAGGTTTTTCTTTATTAAGTGCGCTCGAAATTTGAAATGAAATAAAACAACTTGTGTACTTTGCATCAATTTTTATTTTATTTTAAAGGACATTCGATGATATTATGTATGGAAAATAATTTAAGCCAAATGGCTGTCGCGACTCCACTGTAGGTGGTGTATCCTGGTGGACGAATTTTGGACATATCTTTGCATAAATTGGGCTCAATTATAAAAGATTATTTATTTAAAATCATGTTGGCTTTCAGGGCGCAAATTGTCTGTGGTTTGTCTGCACTGACTAGAGATTTCACGTAACCCTACAAAAAGTAGTCGAGGGGTGTTAAGTCACACAATCTCTGTGGTTAGTTGATGTCGCCACAACACGAGATGACGATGCCCTCGAACTTATCATCGAATAAATTCAATGTTTGCCGTGCAGTATGCCAAGTGGCGCTGTTTTGTTGGAGCCACATATTTGTGTGGTCTATATACTCCATCTATCCTAGGCCACAAAACAATTGTTATCATCGTCCCATATCGTTCATCATTGACAGTGAGCGCGGCTACTTTCGCATTTTCAAAGAAACTAGGGCCGATGATATCGCCAGACCAAAATCCACACTAAACAGTAACTTTTAGTCGATCCAAATCTGACAATTTTGCTTGTTAACAAAGCCATTGTACTGCAAGTAACTAAAAACCAGAAATGAGCATCATCACTCAAGATGATTTTTTTACCGAAAGCAAGGTCAGACGCCAATGTCCTAAAGCCTAATCAGCTATTACATGGCGCTATCTGTGATTGTTGGGTTAGCTCTTGAGTTGAATGAACTGTGTATGGATGAAAACCCAAGTCTCGACGCAAAATCCGCCAAGTTGAAGTCCGCAGAAAGACCCAGTTCTTGCGCACGATGCGGAATGGACTGTTTGAGGTTTTCTCGCACACTGTCCTGAATGGCATCAATATTCTCCAACGATCTTGCGTTCACTTGACGTACAGGCACTGTTTCATCGATCATCGACCGGGTGGTCTCAAATTTATTAATTAAACGATGGATTGTGGACTCTGCAGGACGGCAATGAATGCCATAAATTGAATGCAATGCACGGAACGTTAGGCGAACAGAGCACTGATTTTGATAATAAACTTTAAAAATTTCAACGAGTTGTGCGAGCGTGTAGCGTTCCGGGGTAAAATGTGAAGACCACAGAACACAATTACTCTCTACCGAGAGTTAATTGTCTTCTGTGGTGTGAAGACTAAATAAGTATTCTTGTCAAATTAGACAGCGATCGCTTTGCCAATATTGCTGCTATATGATGTCAAAATTCGAGCGTACCTATAAAAACCCTTTATATATTTTTTATAGCAGAGGGGGCAAGCGAGTATGCTCACCTGATGGAAATATGCGGGTAGAATTGTAGTTGCGTTGCCAGCCGTTCAGAAAGGAGTAAGCTTGTTTCCTGAAGGTTCCTTAGTCGTATCGGTACGAAAAAATCGCCGGTGGTAAACAATTCCACAAAGTAGTCGTGCGAGGAAGAAAACTCCTAGTAAATCGCACAGTAGTGGACCGCCATGCCTCCAGGTGATGTGGATGGTAACGTAAGTTTCGTCGTGATGTGCGTTGATGAAATTTGACAGCTGGAATTAATCCGAACAAATCCTCAGAGCACTCACCGTGGTAAATACGACAGAAAATCCAAAGGGACATGGATATTAGTCAGTTTTGTACATAAACATAGAGTTTGTTTATAACTTGACTAAGCGCCACCTATATGATCCATAGCATAACTGCGAACCACCATCTTTACAAAAGAAAGTACATTGTGTAAATATTACCTTAATCGATCAAGTCGTTCAGAAGTTATACAATCACTTACAGACGCACGAATGATTAGTGTAATAAAAGGATTAAGCTTTTGATGGATGACGACAAATGCCGGAAATTAATAAAGATAATATTATTAATATTCATTTACGTAAAAAGTGGAAGCAGTCGGTTAAGTACTTAACTGTACCAAAATAATTTAAACGCAGCAGCATTAATCTCCTATTCTAGACTGGTATTCTAAGAGCGTGGTTCTTCCCTGGTCAAGACGACCAATATACAAAAAAAAATGTTTCAAAAATCTCTCATACATAGGTCCTCATCATGATCGTTGCTCCAACTGCAAATGTGTATATATATGTAATAGTTAAAATATTTTTAAGTTGGTTCTATTTTCAATTTTTTACCTTAGTTTGATCATGAATGTAGGTCAACGAGGAGTACAAGTACCCTTTAAGTTTTGATGAACGTTAGTGTCGTTTGATAGCATTGTCTTGAAAGATTGAATTTTTTACACCTTCAAGAAACAGTAGACCTGTTCTTGAGAAAAAATATAATAGGATTCTCTATCAAATAGAAAATTCCAAAAACTAAAGTATAATTTTTTAGATATTAGTCAGTTGTCAGTTTAAGTGACAATTTTTAAATCCAAATTGTATGCACGCGAGGTAAACCATTTATGTTTTTATAAACTTTAATCCATGCTCAAAGATTCAAGGAGTTTTTATTATATAGAAAATTTATATAAAAAATAAAAATGAATGACCTAAACGATGGTCTCATACAGGCGATCACATATTAATAAACTGGTGTTTTGGTCAGCATAATTGAGGGATCCCATTTCGACCTTTGCTAATGGAATTTAATCCAATTAGATTTTAGGGTTACAAGGTGCAATTTTCCGCCAGTAAGCAAATTGCGTTTTGTGACGATCTACACCTGCTGTTTTTGCAAAATTTGGATCAAAACAATTTCCCGATATGTAAAAACTTTTTGTAACATAACTAATTTTATGTATTTTACTTGAATTGAAAAACACCAATATACTTAATAAAATTTTAATAACTTTTATAGACTACTCCTTCAACAGGAGGGATATGTCATAATCACCACTTTTAACACGTGGATTGGTGATTGTATTATCATACGTCTTGCACATCCAACATCATTCACATCGTGGGCCTTGGAATTTTATTTGTTGTATAAATACGGGGTATTTATTGTCATCTGTCGAAGGTAATAAGATCTTTTGAACCATTTACCTAAGTCACATGATAGAAGATATTTACCAAAAATAAAAATAATATCTTAATAACATTTACCTTGTATCACACATAAATAGCTCCAGAGATCTACTTTTAGGGAGGATTAGTCAAAATGGACACGCTTGGCAAACGGACTGGCAATCGCCATTTCAGGCACTCCACATCTCGTATCTTTGTTGCTTATCCTCGTAGCCGGTGTGCATCTGCAATTCCTGCGAGTCGCGCGCTCTTTTGTCCCCTCATCTACAAAAGAGGCAATTAACTGCTGCGGCATCTTTCACGTCATCGAAGACATAGACAATACCTAAGCGCCAGTCAGCTTTTTTTATAGGATAAGGGTGACAAACGAGCACTCAGTCCATCTAATGGTAAGTGGTTACTGTGGCCCACAGACATCTACATCTATCTTCGACTACGAATCAAAATGCAGATGCGTTGTCACTCGTGAGGACTAGGATGGAATGTCTCTTTTCCAGTAAAATGGGTCTCCGGTTCTCTACACTTACCATACGAAACACAGCAGTGTCAAGCTGCCATTTTACGCTGGTAGAGCGTGGTCCTTCCCCGGTCGAGCCGACCCATTCGTGCTACAACTATACTACTAATATAGCTGCAGCTCTATTAGTCAGGCTCTACCACGTATAAAAGCTTTTAAGTGCAGAACACGATTGCATCACTTAATGTCTTAAGTGAACAACAACACCAGTACGCGTTACTTTTTCCACTAATTTCACACATACGTTTTTAATCGCGCTGTTAAGAAAAGAAATAGGATGAGAAATGGTAACTTAACGTTGACTATCACGTTGGTGCCACAAAAATAAATGATGTTATCATGGAAAAAGGGTAGATATACAGTAAATAGTACGTTATAGCGGTGTAAGAATATACCGTTCCGTGGATGTCGTAAGAATTGACAGAAAGAAACTGAAACTGGAGATGGGAAACAGCATCTTCCTGATAACAATTCAAAATAATAAAAACTTTGGCTATTAATCCACCTGTCAAACATAGCAACAATGGTAAAACCCCTTATGAGGCCATCTATGGGGGAGGCCTATGTTAAGTAGTGGATTTTATAGTTTGGTATTTGTGTAGATCTAGTGGTAATTTAAAAAGAATTTTAGCTTCGCTGTGATTCATTGCTTGAATTAAATAACTTCTTTATTACAGACTATCAAAGTCCATTCCTGAAAATAGGCCTCCCTCTTTACCTTTAAGGGGGGGGGGTAATAATGAGGTCAAAAATATGGTATTTCATTTAATACCTACATAGAAATAAAAGTATTTTATCTCTTTTAATACCTCAAAACAGTCATCATCGTAATAAAATACGAGTGCTGAAATGAAATCTTGAAACAGATTCCTTACGT